TGTGTCCAACCTGGCCTTGAACACTGCCAGGGATGGGGCAGCCACAGCTTCTCTGGGCACCCTGTGCCAGCGCCTCAGCACCCTCACAGGGAAGAGCTTCTGCCTAAGAGCTCAGCTCAGTCTCCCCTCGGGCAGGTTCAAGCCATTCCCCTTGGCCTGTCCCTCCATCCCTTGTCCCAAGCCCCTCTCCAGGTTTCCTGCAGCCCCTTTAGGCACTGGAGCTGCTCTAAGGTCTCGCCTTCAGGAGCCTTCTCCAGGCTGCCCCAGCCCAGCTCTCTCAGCCTGGCTCCATAGGAGAGGTGCTCCAGCCTCCCAGCATCAAACCAGGCTTTCTCCAACCAAAAAATCAGGTTCCTGGTTGGGCAAATACAGAGTTGGGCAAATGCACGTTCATCCTGGAGGGAGCCAAAGTGAGGCTGGTTCCCATCCAAACCCTCTGAGCCCCCGCAGCCTGGCTGCACAGCCTGGGAGGGCCCAGAGTGGTTTCTGCAGCACCAGCCCAGGCTTGGCTCTCCCTTCCCACCCCCAGTTTCGGTGCCTGCTGCAGAGCACATCATCCTCTTCCCAAGGGGATCGTGGGTGAAGGGAGCCTGGAGGTACCTGTTCAGTGAAGCAGCCAGGGACTGTACATCTACATTAAAAGCAAAGCAGAACTGCTGCAAAGAGAGTGCTGCAGCTCTGGGTTATCTGCTGGTGTTCAGAATTGATGGAGCATGTTCAGCAGCATGATGCGAGATGCCCAAGAAAGCAGCATTTCCCGGCCTTGGTGCTGTTCCTCCTCAGACATACTCCATCAGAAGGCAGGGCCCATGCATCTTTAATGGGGGTACTAAATAACTCAGTTTGCTATCTATAATTGAATTCTAGTTGGAGACACTGCATGAGGAGCTGTCTGCTGCAGGGGGAAGCTTTTCCTCCCTGCCTTGAGCCATGAAACTGAGTATCACTGTTAGAGGGAAGGTGCTGGTGATTCTGTGATCACCCTCCTGCTAACGCTGCCATCAGAGGTAGCCCTGTTTTGCCAGCAGAGCAGGATGTCTCAGGACTTAAGGGATCTCTTAACACCCTCTCCCCACAGGCTTCGATCGCCCTTCCCATGACCTAAATCTGCAAAGTCCTGTACCAACATCACTGTCCCAGCCTGCCCGGTGTGTAGGCAGGGTGCAGGCAGCGGTGTTGGCAGCAGCTCGACCACGCTGATCCTCCCATCCTCACCTTGCCTGTGCTCAGCTGCCCGCAGGGTGTGAGCCGGGCAGTGGGACCTGGCTCCTGGAGCACGCTTGCTCTCGGGCACACAGGTGTGCCCAGCCAAGAGAGCAGGGGAGGCTTCAGGACAGAAAACCTCGTCCTGTGGCAAATCACAGTCAGCATGTGCCAGGGTTTCCCTGGGGTTTGTTATTCCTGTGACCTGGCACCGTGCTAATGGATTCCTGCCGGGCCTGACCCAGCTCAGCTCAGAAGTTGCAAGGTTTGTTTTCCTGCAGCCACCCAACAGCCAAGCGCTTCCCTGGCCCAGCCACAGCAGACGTTTCCAATGCTGTCCTGTCCCCGCATCTCCCTAATCAAACCAGATCTGTTTTCATGCTCATCCCAGACTGCTGGTGTCCAAGGCATGGGACAATGCATGCTATAACAGCCAGGCATTTTCCATACTAGTGAACAAGCATTTTCCCCCCTCTCTTTGCATCTGACAATTAGATTTTCCCCTTCCCAGATTTGCTCCAAAGCCTAATCCTGGTACACAGCAAATGGCAGCTTGAACAGTGGGAGCTGCAGCCAGCCCAGAGCTCCCAAAAAAGGCATTTTGGGGAGAAACTGCTGACACAACCCAGTGCTGCTGGTGTACGGCAGCCCCCATAAATACTGGATTCAGCCTGAATAGGAAGGTGTCATGTTCTGAACAATGTGAAGAGGGGAGATGGCAAACACGATATTGCTGAAAGGAAGATGAGCACAGCGAGTGTTCCCTGTGCTCACTCCAGCCTGCAGATTGCTACAGCCTGCAACAACCTGGTGGTACCTGTTGGGAAGATACTGTTGCCTGCTCTGGAGCTGGGCTGTGCTGCTGGCCCAGCACACCGGCACGCTGGTGATGGGAATGGTGCTGCTCCATAAACATCCGAGCAGAGGTCTACATCGTTGGCTCACATGCACTGGTGCCATTCCCTGCACTGGCATTGCGTGGGCAGCAGGGACCCGAGAGCCTCTTGGTGCTCCTCAGCCCTGTGCCGCAGGTCACTGGGGCCCCACAGAGCCGCTTCCATTATCTGGTGCTTTCTTAATTCCAGCAGGTTTGGGGGTTTTTGAGCTGACTCCACTGTCACATTTTAAATGATTTCCCTTTCATGTGCTCCAGGTCTCAGTTTCTGCCCATCCCCTTCTAACAAATGCCAGTTTCTGATCTGAGTCTCTCCATTTGGCTCGGGCCCCTGTGATTTTCTGACTTCCACACTCTTTCTCTGGGCTTTCTCTTGCATCCATTAGCAAGCTGCTTGGGATTTCTTGTTCCACTTGATGCAGCATCAAGCCCTGATCAGGTTCCCAATCTCATTCCCACCGCTGTTGTTTTGGCTCGGGTGAGATGCTGCCGGGCTTGAGTGTCCAGCCAGAACCAACTAGAGAGAAATAACAAGTACTTTAATTCACAACAAGCCAGGAGCTTTCTAGATTCAATAAACCCCGCTCTCCCCACACTGTGTAAGGCACAACCTGCCTTTGGGAAATAATTCAGGTAGAAGAAAAAATCCCCATAGCCTCCTGCAAATGCTCCAGTGGATTCCAGTTTCCATCTCCTCGGGCTCTGCGGCAGGGTGGTGCTGTAAGCAGGTCCATGGAACTGCCAGGAGCCCCAGCGAATGCTTGAGGCTTTGCTTTATGGGCTGTGACCTTCGTGTAGGAGAAAGGAGACTAGTTTTAAGGATGCCTTTCCAAAAGGAGCGTTTTAAATATTGGCTTTGTAAAGGTGGGTTTTCCCACCCTCTGGCCAGGAGGATGCTGAGAAATGAGCTTTAACCATGGGTGCAGAGAGCTTGAGGGTGCCCTCACCAGAGCCAGGCTCTCAGAGCACATCCTGTCCCCATTTGGGTGGCTGTGGTTGGAGGAACACTGCAGCTGGGAGCAGTCCTCTCTCTGGATAAGCATCTCCTGAACATGCCAGCACACCAGAGCCGCTGGTGGAGGAGCTGTCCCAGAGGAGCCATGGGCAGCTGGTTCCCCTCCTGCTCGATGTCTGCCCCACATGGCCAGGCCAGGATGGGTTTTGGCAGCACACAGCCGCTCCTCTCTGCCCTGCTCCAGTCCCACCATGCTGACGGCCACTGGGCTGGTGTCACCAGCTCCCTGCCACCATCTCTCCTGACCTCACAGCCACAGCCCTGCTCCATGGGAGGAGGGATCATGACAGCATCTCCTGGTGCTCCCTCCATTGATGTGATACACTCACCCATGGGGCCTTCCTCCCTTCTCTTCTGAAGCTGCCTCATCCCCAGCAGTGTCCAGGGCAGGATTTGCAGCAAATGGCCATGCCCAGGCTGCTGGCAGTGCCTCCCTCCTCTTCAGGGCAAGGAAGGTGAGGGGAGGCTTCCTGGCACTGCAGATCCTTCCTTGGAACACGCAGAGATGTTGCTGGAGGATGCCAAGACCTGCAGGGATGGAAGAGAGCCTGCAGCACCCACCAGGGACCCCCTCCACGGCCCAACACTGACCTTGGCAGCTCCCCAGGGACAGAAGAGCCACTGGACTCCACTGGGGCCACTGCAGCCCCCTGCCCGCCCCCCTGCCTGGCAGAGGGACCTCCTTCCCACCGCATTGCTCCCCAGCCCCATGGCTCTGGTTAAGGACAGCAGCTGCACCAGATGTGCCTGGGCTTATGGGTCCATGGGGCACTGCTGCCCCGCTCGGGGATGTGACCCCAGTGGTGTGGGGTGCTGGGAGCCCTGAGCCGGGGTTGGTGTCGGGCTGTTGGCAGAGGCTGGCAGGTCCCAGGCTCACATGGGCAGATGGCGTTGGGGCAGTTGAGTCTCCCGCAGCCGTTTGAAGAGAAACGCACTGCCACTGGGTCACATAGAGCCAGACCCGCTGCAGTCCCTGTCCCAGTGCCGGCATGGTGCCATGGGACAGACCCCATCAAGCTGGAAACCACCTGAAAAACCACAGTGGCTTTGCTTGCTGGTGGTGCCATGGGCAGGGAGGTGACCTGGGGGCCTCAGCCATGCTGGCCCCCTCCGGCCACACAGGGAGGGCTCTGGTGCCGGTCCCTGCACCTGGGGAAGGTGTCACTGTCCCTCCCCAGATGCCAGACGAGCACTGCCTGCGGTGCCAGCCGGTGAAGGGTGGGCAGAAGGCAGCCAAAGCCTCAGCCCTGGGTTTGTGTGGAGATGACCTCGGTGCCAGGCACAAAGGTGACCATGGGCTAGGGGCCCAGCGAAGAGCTTCCAGAGGTGGCAGGATTGGGACACCCACCTCTCGGTGCTGCTGTCCCCCCCTCAATGATGCTGAGGGCAGCGGGGCGGCACCAGCGGGGCATGCCCGGGACACCGGGGAGAGCCCTTGGTGGTGCTGGGGCACCAGGGCCCGCCCGCCCAGGCCCCGCTCCTCCTCCTCCTCCTCCCGGCTCCTTTCCCTCTCCCCGCTCGCAGACCCAGCCCGGGGGAGGAGCCGCCCCGTACAAAACCTCCCGCCCGGCCCCTTCGGCCCCGCTCCTGCTCCGGCACCGGCGGCGGGGGGAGCAGCGCTCGCTCGGGGCCATGCGCGCCGCGGCGGGGCTGGGAGCGGGCGGCGCTCGGGAGCCATGAGCGCGGCAGCGGCGCGGAGCGGGGCCGGGCGGCGGAGGGGAGGCGGTGGCGGCGGCGGGAGCCCGGCGGGGCGGCGGCGGGGGCTGCGCTCGCTGGGCTGCCTGGCGGGGCGGCTGCTCCGCACCTGGGCGCGCCTGGCCGGGGGCCGCGGGCCGCAACGAGCCGCGCCCGAGGACGACGAGGGCGGATTCCGGGGGGGCGGCCCCGGGGGCGAGCGGCGGCGGCGGCTGCCAGGGGGGGCGGCCCCGGGGGGCGGCGGGGAGCGGCCGCCGGGCGCGCAGGGGCTGCGGAACCTGGGCAACACGTGCTTCATGAACGCGGTGGTGCAGTGCCTCAGCAACACGGCCCCGCTCGCAGAGCTCCTGGCGCTGGGCCGCTACCGCGCCCGCGGGGCCCGCGCCGAGGTGACCCACCGGCTGGCGGCCCTGGTCCGCGCCCTCTGGACCCGCGACTATACACCGCAGCTCTCCGCAGAGTTCAAGGTACGGCCCCGCCGGCGCGCCCGTCTCCGCGGCCTCGGGCTTTGCCCTGCGCACCCCGGCGGGAGCCCAGCTCACAGGACCTGTCAGCATCACCCCGCTCTCGGCACCCACTGGCACTGCCAGCACCCACCAGCGCCCCTTCCAGCCCGCAGCACCCACTGGCGCTCCCAGCTCACAGGACTCGCTGCCACCATCAGCATCTTCCAGCACCCACCCGCTCCCATCACCTGCCAGCGCCCCAGCTCACAGGAGCCACCAGCATCCCCTGCTCAAAGCACCCACTCCCCTGCCTCATCTTCCCCATGGACCTCCCGCCCTGCTCCATCGGCTGCCCGTGCCCTGCTGCTGTCACCCACCTCCGCCTGGGCTGCCCCTCGCTTCAGCTCTGCGCTCCCTTGGCCGGGTGAGCTCCAACCCCTCAGAGCCATAAGGGCGAGCAGGATGCTGGCTCTGGTGGTGGGGCAAGGCGGGAAGGTGCCCCAGGAGCCTAACGCAGTGGCCTCAGGCCCCGTCGGTGAGTGCATCACATCCCTGCTGGGTGTGTATCAGCGCTCTGCAGGCTTGTGCCCAGCATGGGGATAGGGACAGGGCAGTGCTGTGACCCCGGCGTCGCAGCTCCCCACGCTGAGGGACGTGTGTCCACTGGTGACAGCTCAGCAGGGCCCCGCTGCTGCAGTTCCGCTGCTAGTGCATTTGCGAAGTGCTTGGAGGAGCCACCGGGGAGCCAGGCTCCTTCCCGGGTTGGGGTTTCCTGCAGCCAGGCTGGTTCTGGGATACCCGCTGCCCTGCACTGCCTTTCCCAAGGGACCTGCCCGTGGGAGAGTGTTGCCTTTCAGTTTCTTGTAGCCAAGTAATGAGCTCTTGCAGTGCTGGGTGCAGCGTTTCCATGCCCTCGGTTCCCGAACACACACATTCCTTAGGCACAAAGCCGAACGAACCCTCAAACTTCCAGCCTCCCCCTTGGGTCTCCTCTCTCCGGGTGCTGTCTGCATCTTCTGTGCATTTCCATGCTGTTGTTTTTCTTCCTAAATCTGCCTAAAGAAGATTTTAAAACTCAGAGTGGAGTCTGACTCATTTTGCTTTAAGCTCACCCGCGGTGACATCGCTCCCTCTGCTTGTACCGGGATGCTTGTGCCACTAAGGGTGGGCTGGAGGGGGCCTTGGCTCAGGGTGTTTCCTGCCCGTGCTGGAGGTCTGAGTCCCAGCATGGATGGTTGGGATTTAACTGTCAGCTGGTTAAAAGCCACGGGGATGTGCTGTGTTTCTCCCTCCCAGTGCTGGTCTTGGGACTGAGCTCCTAAAATTGCCCTTTCCTGGCTCTGAGCAGCCACCGCTACACCAGGCTTGGAGCTGAGCCCTGGCAATCCGCAGCTCTGCCTTTCGGGGTGCTTCCTGCACCCCCAGCCCCGTGCATCTGGGGTTTGGAGTCGGGGACCCACCTGGCTCACGCTGCTCCCCCGGGAGCTGGTGGCACAGCTCTGGTGCTGGTGGCACCCTGGCATCGGCGGGTGGCGCATCCCCCAGGGCCACCTGCACCGCAGGCACAAGCGCCCCTGGGGCCTCGGCTGGCTCAGCGAGGGAGCCGGCTTCAGCACTGGTGTGGTGGCCTGATGGCACCCGATGGGCATATCCTCCTTGGGTACTACTACAGCCCCACAGCATCCTTGGCCCCACAGCATCCTTGACCCTATGGCCTGGAGTGACCTGCTCTAGTGGAAGGTGTCCCTGCACATGGAAGGGATTCCAACTGAATGAGCTTTAAGGTCCCTTCAACCAAAACCAGCCTGTGATTCCCACTATGTCCCTTGGCAAGGGGGTACCTTCCATTAGGTAGGTACCTAACAGCAAACTGTTAGTTTGCTAACAGCAAACAGTTACCTAACAGCAAACGTAATGCCAAATTAGCCAAAATGCTGGGGGCAAGGGTGAGAGGGGGTGATCAGAGGGCAGTGCCAGGCAGGGGGGCTTGGAGTGGAGGGGCAGAGCCTGGCATGGGAGGCAGCTGCCTGCCAGTGATGGGGCAGCATGTGCAGGCAGGGCCTGGGGGAGAGCTGCTGCCTGCAGGGGCATCCCAGCACTGGGAATTGCCTTCCTCTGGCTGTTACACTGAGTTAATGCCTTCAGAGCACATGGGGCAGGTGCTGCTGGTGAGTCCCCATGGGATGGACTTGCCCATATGGGCTTTGTTGGGGTGTGCCCTGTCCCCTCCTGGGGGCATCCCAGCAGCTGAAAGCTGGCACACCACAGTGATGGGCCATGGAGCCGTTCTTTTGGCTGCTTGTGCCAGTGTCCTCACTGCTCTGCTGTCCCCGGGGATGGGGGCAGACACTGTTGCAGGGGTGGGATTTTGGGGTGGGTGTTACCAAACCGGGCTCAGCGCCCTCCCGGCCTGTCTCTTGCAGAGCATCGTCTCCAAGCACAGCGCCCAGTTTCGGGGCAACGCACAGCACGACGCCCTGGAGTTCCTGCTCTGGCTGCTGGACCGCATGCACGAGGACCTGGGTGCCGCCTCCCTGGCCCCACAGACCCGTGTCTCTGAGCAGGTGGGTGACCCCGCCGGGGGGTTCTCACACCCTGGCATGGGGAGGGGATCCGTGCCAGGTCTGGGACCAGGGTAGCTGGGATGTCCGGGGAGGGAGAGGGCTGGAGGTGTCCCCCTCACCCCGGTGTGGGATGGGGTGCAGGTGATGTAGTTTGGCTGGTGCCAAAGATGCTCGGGGGATGGCGGGATGCTGGTGCTGCAGGGCTGGGTGGGGTGGTTGTGGTGCTGGGAGAACGTGAAGCCCGTCCAGCTGAGAGCGCTGTTTGGATGCGCACCCTGGTTCTTGGGGTTGCTCCATCAGGAGGAGATCCGGCCCCTCCCAGGCCCCCCCCACCAGCTAAGCCTGCTGTAATTACAGTGGTCGGCGACTTTGCTGCTGGCACAATGGAGAATTAGGTCTTCTTCCATCCATCTGCACTCATGCTGTCACCCTGGCCCTGCCTGCTCCCTCCCTTCTCCCTCCCTGCTCCCTCCCTGCTCCCTGCCTGCACCCTGCCTGCTCCTTGCCTGCTCCCTGCCTGCTCCCTCCCTGCTCCCTGCCTGCTCCCTCCCTTCTCCCTCCCTGCTCCCTCCCTGCTCCCTGCCTGCACCCTGCCTGCTCCTTGCCTGCTCCCTCCCTGCTCCCTGCCTGCACCCTGCCTGCTCCTTGCCTGGTCCCTCCCTGCTCCCTCCCTGCACCCTGCCTGCTCCTTGCCTGGTCCCCCCCTGCCGGGGCCCTGCCTGTTGCAGCAGATGGATTTGTGCAGCCAGGTTTGCCACAGTGGCTTGGCTCAGCACTGGGTTGTCCCAGTTGGGCACAGTGGTCCTGGGAGCATCTTTATCCTCCCTGTCCCCAGCTTGGGGCATCACTGTGGCTGTAGCCGAGGGGTGCAGGTCTGGCCTCCAGCCTTGTGTGGGCACAGCTCTGTCGCATGTGGCACAGTTCAGATGTGGTGCCCGTCTTCAGAGCCTCTGGAGATGCCAGTCCATGCCGTGGCTGTGGCTGCTGGCGTTTCAAGTGGTGCCGTGGCAATACCCAGGGCACCTCTCTTGGCTGCCGGGAGGGCTGGAGGTGGAGGCATCCCTTTGGGTTTGGAGGAGATTTGAGGGCCACCTGCAGCACAGATGCTGTCCAGATCCCCTCCTGCTCCACCAGATGGACCCTGGCCCCAGGCAACCCATAAGGATATGTCAGGCTCAGCAGGACCCAGTGCCAGCAGATGGCACAAGGAAAATTCACCTCGCAGCCAAATACCACATTGATTTTCAGTCTTAACCACAACGACAAAACCTCCCCATCTTACCACAAACCAGGCTCCTTTCTGCAACTGCTCTTCTGCCATTGAGCTCTGTATGGCCATAGCAGAGGGTGAAGTTGGTGGCTTCTGCCCTCTGTGTGGGGACAGGGCTTCCTGTGGTTCAGAGGGCAGCAAATGAGCAGGGAGATGGCAGGATGCAGAAAGCGAAATGGCAGGAGGCAGGCAGAGGGCAGGATGCAGGCAGGGAGAGGGCAGGATGCAGGCAGGGGGGTGTCACCTAACCAGGCAGGTTTAGCTGTGTAACGTGGTTGCATCCCAGCATCTCCCTTCCCTAGGGAGCAGAGCAGAGGGCTTGGCTCTTCTTGAGGTCCCTGGGGCACATCTTGCCTGCAGGATCCATACTCCAAGTTGAGTAAAGGCAGCTGCCTCCCTTCCTGGGTTCTTGCCTCTCCTCAGGACAGAGCAGCATCCGGTGCTGGCCCCAGCAGCGAGTGGCGGAGCTCTGCCAGCACTGACCTCCCTGGCAGTGCCTGCGAAGGAAGGGGGAGCAGAGCCCGTGCCTCAGGTCCTCACGCACCGAGCAGGGGGCATGGAGAGGGCTCCCCTGTGCAGCTCCTAACCCGCCCCGAGGCAGCGTCTGGCCCATGGGCTTGTGTGCGGTGGTGGGCTGGGTCTTGTGCCTGAGCTGGGTGCCATGCTGGGTACCAGGTGCTGTGTGCTGGGTGCCGGGTGCTGTGCTGGGTGCTGGGTGCTGGGTGCTGTGCTGGGTGCTGTGCTGGGTGCCGTGCTGGGTGCTGTGCTGGGTGCTGTGCTGGGTGCTGTGCTGGGTGCTGGGTGCTGTGCTGGGTGCTGGGTGCTGTGCTGGGTGCCGTGCTGGGTGCCGTGCTGGGTGCTGTGCTGGGTGCTGTGCTGGGTGCTGGGTGCTGTGCTGCGTGCTGTGCTGGGTGCTGGGTGTCGTGCTGGGTGCCGTTCTGGGTGCCATGCTGGGTGCTGTGCTGGATGCTGTGCTGGGTGCTGGGTGCTGTGCTGGGTGCTTGGTGCCGTGGTGGGTGCCATTCTGGGTGCCATGCTGGGTGCCATGCTGGGTGCGGCTGGTGCTGGTGCGTGCGGCTGGGTGCTGTGCTGGCGGGTGTGGGTGCTGGGTGCCGTGCTGGGTGCTGTGCTGGGTGCCGTGCTGGGTGCCGTGCTGGGTGCCGTGCTGGGTGCCGTGCTGGGTGCTGTGCTGGGTGCTGTGCTGGGTGCTGGGTGCTGTGCTGGGTGCCGTGCTGGGTGCTGTGCAGGGTGCTGTGCTGGGTGCTGGGTGCTGTGCTGGGTGCTGTGCTGGGTGCTGGGTGCTGTGCTGGGTGCCATGCTGGGTGCTGGGTGCTGTGCTGGGTGCTGTGCTGGGTGCTGGGTGCTGTGCTGGGTGCCGTGCTGGGTGCTGTGCTGGGTGCTGTGCTGGGTGCTGGGTGCTGTGCTGGGTGCTGGGTGCCGTGCTGGGTGCTGTGCTGGGTGCCGTGCTGGGTGCCGTGCTGGGTGCTGGGTGCTGTGCTGGGTGCCGTGCTGCGTGCTGGGTGCTGTGCTGAGTGCTGTGCTGGGTGCTGTGCTGGGTGCTGGGTGCCATGCTGGGTGCTGTGCTGGGTGCTGTGCTGGGTGCCATGCTGGGTGCTGGGTGCTGTGCTGGGTGCCGTGCTGGGTGCTGTGCTGGGTGCTGTGCTGGGTGCTGGGTGCTGTGCTGGGTGCTGGGTGCTGTGCTGGGTGCTGTGCTGGGTACTGGGTGCTGTGCTGGGTGCTGGGTGCTGTGCTGGGTGCCGTGCTGGGTGCTGGGTGCTGTGCTGGGTGCTGTGCTGGGTGCTGTGCTGTGCTGGGTGCCAGTGGGTGCTGTGCTGGGTGCTGTGCTGGGTGCTGGGTGCTGTGCTGAGTGCTGTGCTGGGTGTGGGTGTGTGGGGTGTGTGGTGTGGTGGTTGGGTGTGTGTGGGTGTGTGCTGGGTGCTGTCTGGGTGGGTGCGTGCTGGGTGTGCTGGGTGCTGTGCTGGGTGCGTGTGGTGCTGGGTGCCGTGCTGGGTGCTGTGCTGGGTGTGCTGGGTGCTGGGTGCTGGGTGCTGTGCTGGGTGCTGGGTGCCGTGCTGGGTGCTGTGCTGGGTGCTGTGCTGGGTGCTGTGCTGGGTGCTGTGCTGGGTGCTGGGTGCCGTGCTGGGTGCTGTGCTGGGTGCTGTGCTGGGTGCCGTGCTGGGTGCTGTGCTGGGTGCTGGGTGCTGTGCTGGGTGCTGGATGCTGTGCCGGGTGCTGTGCCAGGGGCCATTCCTGAGGAGCACTGCACCAGGGGGGCTGTTGTTGGCTCCGGGACCCTGGGGATTTGCATGTGGTTCATTTGCTCCCTGTCACATTCGCCTCGGGGGGAAGGCCTGGGCAGGAGCATAAACACCCACTCCAGGGCTCCTGTCATACACAGACATGCACACAGACACACGGACACACACACAGACACATGGACACGCACACGGACACATGGACACGCACACAGACACATGGACACGCACACAGACACATGGACACACACACGGACACATGGACACGCACACAGACACATGGACACACACACAGACACATGGACACAGACACAGACACATGGACACGCACACAGACACATGGACACACACACAGACACATGGACACAGACACAGACACATGGACACAGACACAGACACATGGACACACACACAGACACATGGACACACACACAGACACATGGACACAGACACAGACACATGGACACACACACAGACACATGGACACACACACAGACACATGGACACACACACAGACACATGGACACAGACACAGACACATGGACACACACACAGACACATGGACACACACACAGACACATGGACACAGACACAGACACATGGACACAGACACAGACACATGGACACACACACAGACACATGGACACACACAGACACATGGACACACACACAGACACATGGACACACACACAGACACATGGACACACACAGACACATGGACACACACACAGACACATGGACACGCACACAGACACATGGACACACACACAGACACATGGACACGCACACAGACACATGGACACACACAGACACATGGACACAGACACAGACACATGGACACACACACAGACACATGGACACACACACAGACACATGGACACACACACAGACACATGGACACACACACAGACACATGGACACGCACACAGACACATGGACACGCACACAGACACATGGACACACACACAGACACATGGACACGGACACATGGACACACACACAGACACATGGACACACACACGGACACATGGACACACACACAGACACATGGACACAGACACAGACACATGGACAAACACAGACACATGGACAAACACACAGACACATGGACACAGACACAGACACATGGACACACACACAGACACATGGACACGCACACAGACACATGGACACACACACAGACACATGGACACACACACGGACACATGGACACACACACAGACACATGGACACAGACACAGACACATGGACACACACACAGACACATGGACACACACACAGACACATGGACACACACACAGACACATGGACACACACAGACACATGGACACAGACACAGACACAGACACATGGACAAACACACAGACACATGGACACAGACACAGACACATGGACACACACACAGACACATGGACACACACACAGACACATGGACACGCACACAGACACATGCACACACACACAGACACATGGACATGCAGGCAGACACACAGACACCTGCCCACTGCCCCATCTCAGCATCACCCATGCACGCCCCAGCTCCCCAGCTGCTCCCAGCACCCAGGGATGCTTTCACCAGCACAGTAGGTGCCAGGGTGCTGTGGGCACCTCACTGCTGAGGCTGCCTGCCCTGCCCTGCCCTGCCCGCTGTGCCCTTGTGTACTAGTGCTCCTTGGGAGCACTTGGTGAGCAGGAACCAACTTCCTCCCCACCCAAGCTTTTCCCCGCTGGAGGTGCTGGGGCAGGGGTGAGCCCTCAGTCCCCCCCGGCTGGCTAGTGGGTGGGACGTACCCTGGAGTTTCCCCAGGAGAAGACATGCAGGGGTATGGAGAGGGCAGCAGTGCGGGTGCCAGGCAGGCATCGCTTCAGCATCACCTTCAGCCCATCCTCAAGCCATGGGGACCCCAAAGCTGGGTTTGGTTCAGTGGCACATGTCCCCGACCCCTAAAGGGTGTGGGGTCACCCCAGCACCTCACTCACCCACTTGTCTCTTGCCTCTGCAGCCTGGTGAGGATGGGAGTGGTGCTGACAGCCCCTCACCGGCCACCCAGCACCCCCATGGGCAGAGCTTTGTGCAGAGCCACTTCCAGGCTCAGTACAGGTGAGCTGTGATCCTGCCTGGCCAGGGCTTTACCATCCTGCAGCCCTGGGCAGCAATGGATGGGGCTTTGCAGACAGATGTCCAGGGAGCGGATGAGCCAGGGAGTTCTCAGCCCTGCAGAGAGGCTCCATCCACCCATGCATCCATGCATCCACCCATCCTTCCATCCATCCATCCTTCCATCCATGCATGCATGCATGCATGCATCCACCCACCCATCCTTCCATCCATCCACCCATCCTTCCTTCCATCCATCCATCTTTCCACCCATCCATCCATCCATCCATCCATCCATCCATCCTTCCATCCATCCATCCATCCACCCATCCATCCATCCATCCATCCTTCCATCCATCCATCCCTCCATGCATCCATCCATGCATCCATCCATGCATCCATTCATCCATGCATCCATCCATGCATCCATCCATCTATCCATCCATCCATCCTTCCATCCATCCATCTTTCCACCCATCCATCCATCCTTCCATCCATCCATCCATCCCTCCATGCATCCATGCATCCATGCATCCATCCATCCCTCCATGCATCCATGCATCCATCCATCCATCCATCCATCCATCCATCCGTCCATCCATCCATCCACCCACCCATCCTTCCATCCATCCATCCATCCACCCCTCCGTCCCTCCATCCCTCCAGGCATCCATGCATCCATCCATCCATCCATCCATCCATGCATCCATCCATCCATCCATCCATCCATCCATCCATCCAGCCCATCCAGCCCACCCAGCCCCGAGTTCGGGAGCTGCTTCCCTGCAGGCCTTACAGCAGGTGAAGGGATTTGGGACATTTCATAATCCACTTCAATGCCAGCAAACATTTCTGTAAGTCACAAGAAAGACCCAGATCCCTGTGGCAGTGTGCGGCGGTGTCCTGCCTGCTCCCCGCTCCCATTGCAGCCCTCAGGTTCTGGGGGTTGGGCCAGGCCAGGCATCCGGGAAGCGTATTTTGGTGTGTGTGTGGATGCCGGGTCTTTGGGAGTGAGGGCACAGAGGGTGATGTCAACCACGTCCAGTGTCACCTCCTGGCATGGAGATGGATGCAGGCATTTCCTACTCCCTGCTTTGGAGACCCCATTGCCTGCCTTGCCTTGGCCCTAATGAAGCTTTGAGCCGTTTCCTTGGTTATCAACACCCCAGGGTGGGGAGAGTCACCAGGAGATGGCTTTTGTTGGGACACCTGATTTTACACCCCAATAGCAGTTTGCTGGTGAAAGCAGGGTGGCTGCTGACCTGGCAGGGCTAAGCCTTGGGGAGTCAGGCAGAGCGGTGGGCAGAGCATGGACAGAGCATGCCCTGGTTGTCCTCTGTCAGTGCTGCTGGCATGGTGGTAGAGCAACCCAGTAAGGCATGGTATCCCTCAAAGGTCCATACTGGGACCAGTACCTTTGTCAGTGACACAGGGGATTGGGTGCAGCCTCAGCACGTTGGCAGGTGGCACTGCGGTGAGTGACACCATTGATCATTAGAGGGAGGGGATACCATCAGAGGGGCTGGATGGGCTGGAAGACTTTGCCCACATGAACCTCATCAAGTTCTGCCAGGCCAGGAGCAAGGTCCATTACAGACTGGGTGGTGAATGGAGAACCTGGGAATACAGTGGGTGTAAGACAGGGTGTTCTGGTGCCACAGCCATGCATGGGGAGTGGGAGATCTTGCTATTTCACTCTGCCTTCTCTAGTACCAGTTACTGTGGCTGGCCTTGTTAGGTTTCAGAGTGAACAAACGGTTGGATGGGGCATGCAGGTACCATGGCATATGGCACCCCAGGGTAGGTGGGGATACCAGGGGTGCCAGTGCTGGTGCTGCACCTGGGCTGTGTTTCACAGATCCTCCCTGACATGCCCTCACTGCCTGAAGCAGAGCAACACTTTCGACCCCTTCCTGTGCATCTCCCTGCCCATCCCGCTGCGCCAGACCAGGTGAGCACATCCCAGGGCGGCAAGAGGCACAGCCACTGCTGCCACGGTATCAGCTCCAGCCCAGTAATTGCCTTCTGTGGGGAGGTGGCGGCAGCACTGGGGACGGGTGACAGCACCGCTGGGGACGGGTGACAGCACCGCTGCAACCGCTGTGTCCAGTGGGTGTTTGCTATCCCAGAGCCAGAGCCGCCGTACCGGGGCAAGGTGGTCCCGGCGTGGTGCGAGCAGTGCTGGTGCAGTCTGAGCGTGGTGCCTGAGGTGTGACCCCCACATCCCCGCGGTGTCCGCAGGGCTCTCAACGTCACCCTGGTGCTGCAGTGCGAGCGCCGGCGGTTCGTGCGCGTGGGGCTGGCAGTGCCCCTGTCGGGCACCGTCGCTGAGCTGCGGAAGATGGTGGCGCGGGAGGGGTGCATCCCCCCCGAGCAGGTAATGGGGTGAGGGCACGGCTCGGGGGGGGACGGGGGGACAGGACCCCCGCAGAGATGCTGAGGGTGCCGGTGCCGCCTGCAGGTGATCCTGGCCGAGGTGTCCCCGCGGGGCCTCCTGCGCTCCCTGGGCGATGCAGAGGAGCTGGGTGCTGCCGGGGAGGGGGCTCCACTCTACGCCTTCCAGCCCCCCCCTGCCCGCCGCACAGGTACGGCCGCTTGCTGCCTCGATTGGCTGCTGGCTCTGCACGTGCCGCTCTGATTGGTTGGGAGCGACTCAGGCAGCACTGGGAGAGACAGGCGCATCCCTGGGATTGGTGGAAGGCAGTCATTCCCCTTTCTGTGATTGGTGGCTCAGAGTGTGCTGTGATTGGTGAGGGAGTGGTGTCCTGTCTGCTGTGATTGGTCAAAGGTAGTTACACTCCAGTGGGATTGGGGGAAGTGGTCTCTGTTGGGATTGGTGAGTAACATATCTTTAGCTGTGGTTGGAGGGATGCAGGTGGGCTATGCTGGGATTGGTGAAAACCCTTTTCCCTCCACCCCGTGATTGGTGGGAGTTAGGTATGCTCTGTTGTGGTTGTTGGGAGCTGTGCCCTCTCTGATGTGATTGGTAGGAGTCTTGGCACTCATGGTGTGGTTGGTGGGAGGCAGGTGCGTCCCACTATGATTGGTGGGAGCCTTGTTTCATTGGTTGGAAGCAGGGGTGCTTTGCTGTGATTGGTGGGAGTCTTGTTTGCCCCCTCACACCCCCTTACCCTCCTGCCAGTAACTGGTTGGCAGCAGGCATGCTCTGCAGTGATTGGAGAAGGCCAAGCCCCCTGATCTGTGATTGGTGGGAGGTGTGGGGGTGCAGGAGGCAGGGCTGCATCAGGACGCGCTGTGCCCGCAGGGTGCAGCCTGCCCGCCTCCCCTGGGGCCGCCCAGCCCGAGGGGCCGCGCCGGGGACCGGCTGCTGCCTGCTCCTCCGACTGCCTGCACCGCGGGGGGGGCGGCCGCATCCTGCTGCTGCTCTGCAACACGGCGGGCACCGGCCCCCAGCTCGCCAGGTACCTGCCTGCCCTGCCCCCGCCTCACCGGCACGGCACTGCCACTGCTCCCCCGGCGGGACAGGCACGGGGGTCCCTGCTCAGCGCCCACTGTCCCCAGGTTCGGGCCGCCACTGTTGCTGCGGGAGGAGAGGGGTGCCTCCTGGGAGCAGCTCCAGCAGAGCATCCTGGCCCAGCTGCGGGCCCTGCTGCAGGGAGAGGTGCAGGCACAGGTGAGCGCGACAGGGGGCAACTGCTGCCACTGCAGCCGTGGCAGGGATGGAGCCAGGGGTGGCCGTGGTGTCTCCATGGGCAGCTGTAGTGGAGCAGTGGGTGGCCCTGGTGGGGCTCTACATGGCCATGGTGGCCCCATCAATGGCTGTGGTGTCACTGTGAGTGATCATGGTGGAGCTGTGCTCAGCTGCAGGGTCATTGTGGGTTGTGATAGCCCTGGGGGTGGTTGTGGGGTTGGTGCTAATGGCTCATGGTCACTGTGGGTGGCCATGCTCTCACTGTGGGTGGTCATATTCACACTGCAGACAGGCAGAGGCATCACAGAGGGTGCCCACAGTGTCACCATGAGTGGCGGCAGTCTTCTTGTGCATGGTCGTGTTGTCACCACAGTGGCCAATGTCACCATTGGTGGCCATAGTGTCCCTGTCGGTGGCTGTTGGTGTCCCTGTGGATGGTCACACTGTCACTGCAGGTAGCCAGTGGTGTCACCATGGGTGGCTACAGTATCACCATGTGTGGCCGCAGCACCAACCAGCTCCCGCAGCAGAGCTGCACCAGCCCAGCCACCCTCCTCAGCACCCTGGTGCCACCGTCCTATGGGTGCTGGTGTCCCCATGCTGCCCTTTGCCCCCCAGCCACACCGTTGCCAGCAGGATGGGTCATCCCCCATCCCCATCTCCATGGGTGTCCCTTGCCAGCCCAGCCATAGGGACCAAAGAAATCTCATTTCTGGGGCTTTTCTTGTCTCCTTTCACAAAGCACGGCTCCCCCGACTGCTGCTGGAGGGCAGGAAGGCTCTGCCTCCCCACAGCCCCACAGCCCCCTCTCCCTTGCAGGGCACAGGAGCCCTCTTCCGCATCCGCCTGGCTGGGGGCCCAGCCCCCTGCACCTACCTGTCCCCACAGGACCCCCGCCCTCTCTGCCACCCTGCCGTCGACAGGTAAGGGCACTGCAGGGACAGGATCGTCCCCATCCACTCCCCAGGGGTGCAGTGGTGTCACCATGGCTGGTCACAGTGTCCCTGTGGGAAGTCATAGTGTCCCTCTGCATGGTTGTATTGTTGCCATGGATGGCCAAAGGTGTCCCTGTGGCTGGCCACAGTGTCAGCATGGGTGGCCGCAGGGGTGGCCACCCTTCTCCCCAGGCACTAGGTCCCATCCCTGTGTCTCCATTGTGGGTGTTACATGAGGAGGTGGTGGCCATCCCTGCCTGCCACGGTGGGGTGCCGAGGGGGTGGCCCCACAGGGACAAGGGTTTTGGGGCATCTCGCCTCATCCTCACCCCCAGAGCCCTGCAGCTGAGCGGGGCCGGTGGCCCTCCCCATGTGAAGCTGACGGTGGAGTGGGATGCGAGCACCAAAGAGCGGTGAGTACCTTGCACCCGGAGGGGTGGAGCATCCCAGCGCTTGCCCCCCCCTCCCTGACCCCCCTCGCTGTCCTGTCACTGCCCCCCCCCCAGCCTTTTCGGCAGCCTCCAGGAGGAGGTGGTGCAGGACGCCGAGAGCGTGCGGCTGCAGCAGCAAGCGCACGGGCAGCAGCACAGCTGCACGCTGGACGAGTGCTTCCAGCTCTACACCAAGGAGGAGCAGGTACCGCGCACCCCACCAGCCGCGCAGGCAGCAGGCACCTTCCCGCACACTGCCAGCATCCCGCCCGCACTCTGCCTGCGGGGGCAAGCTCTGCCCCACTGCACGGTAGCTGTCAGGGTTTGCTGTGCTGGGGCCGCTGGGGAGGGCGGTGACCATGGCATGCGGTGTCTCCAGCTGGCCCCAGATGACGCCTGGCGCTGCCCACACTGCAAGGTGCCCCAGCAGGGCACGGTGAAGCTGAGCCTTTGGACACTGCCCGACATCCTCATCATCCACCTCAAGCGCTTTCGCCAGGTGGCTGAGCACCGGCACAAGCTCACCACGCTGGTGAGGTTCCCCCTGCGGGGTCTCGACATGGCCCCGCACGTGGCGCAGCGGGGCCAGGCTGGCGGGCAGCTCTTGGGGCGCTGGGCCTGGCAGGGCCCCCCCCGGGACTCCCTCTACGACCTGTACGCGGTCTGCAACCACCAGGGCAGCCTGCAGGGCGGGCACTACACGGGTGAGTGGCGGGGGGCGTCATGGGCAAGGTGTGATGCTCGGGGGCACGGCAGGGGGGTATGTGTGGGGTATGGCATGGGGTTGGGGGGCAAGCCATGCCGTGCCATGGAGCAAGGTGTAGGGACTTGGGGGCACTGCAGGGGGATATGCCATGGGGTACTGCATGAGCTTGGGGGAGACTGGAGAGGGGGGTGCCATGGACCATAGCACAGGCTTGGGGAGGGGCACTGCAGGGGGTTGCCATGGCAAGCTGGGGCACAGGGCACGTGTACAATGGCCTTTCAACCATGCCAGGGCACGCGTGGCACTGAGACTTGCTCCCTCACAACAGCGTTCTGCATCCCCAGGCTGTCCCCATGTTGGGGCTTATACTCCCCACTGCACCCTGGGACTGGGGGCAGACAAAGGCCATGACACCCCCCCCTCCCTTGTCCCCTCCTTACCTTTTGCCGCCAGCCTACTGCTGCAACGCCCTGGATGGGCAGTGGTACAGCTACGATGACAGCAGGGTGGAGGGGGTGCCGGAGGCCGAGGTGAGCACCCGCAGCGCCTATATTCTCTTCTACCAGCGCCGCAAGGCTGTGCCCACATGGTCTGCTGGCAGCTCCGTCAGGGGTGAGCACTGCAACCTCCCTGCCACGCATGGCACATCAGAGTGCACACACATGCATGTAGAACGCAGCACATGTGTGTGCAGCAGAGCCAGATGTGTGCGCATTGTGCACAGCTGCATGCACAGGGCCATGCACACAAAGCCATGCATGGACGGCACAGCAGCACATGCAGTGTGTAGCCAGGTGTACGTGCATACCTGCCATGTAGTGTTGTGCACACCCAGCACACCCATGCGCACACACTTTCACACGTGTGTAAGCAGATACACATGCACAGATTCCTGCAGCCCAGAGCACACATGCACATACATGTGCACACGGGTGTGCGGGGTGGGGACATGCAGGCGTGCAGCATGGCTGGCATGTGCAGCATTGCTGGTGCACACCCCTCCTCCCCTGTGTGCTTAAGACTGCAGCCACACTCACCATGCGCTTGTGCTCACACAGATGTGCACACATGCCCACACAGATGTGTATGTGCACCCACAGATGTGTATGTGCACACACAGATGTGTATGTGCACACACAGATGTGCACTCACACAGATGTGCACATGCATGCACAGCCGGTCTCAGCCCTGTGCTCCCCCACTGCTGAGCACCCCTGGGTGCTACAGCATCGCCCCCCCGGGATGGGAGCCCAGCAGAACCCCGCAGCCCAGCCCAGCTCCCGCTCCCCACAGGCTCCCCGCTGGCAGAGCACTGGCTGTCCCGCCTGGGCAGCACCACGGGGGACACTGCAGCTGCGCAGCCCTCCCTGCCGGGCACCCACCACACCACTGCTGCGCAGGAGAAAGGTGATGCTGAGCACCCCTTCCCCACCCCAGCGCCCCAGGGGGCTCCCGCATCCTCCCGCTTCACCCGTGTCTGTCACTGCAGGTGGCTTCGAGACCAGGCCCTTTGTGCGGGGCGTCCAGCGCCGCAGCCCCAGCGCCCAGCTCCCTGCCACTGGTGGCCGGTCCCCCGAGTGCCAGGCGCAGGGCCCGGGGGAGCTCGTCGCCTACCTGGAGTCGGGGCGCCGGCCCCGCTGCACGCAGCGCTCGCTGCTCCCGCTCGGCACAGGGGGCACCCCCCGAGCCCCCCGCCAGCCCCTGCTGCGGCGAGCGGCCAGCGCTGGTCCTGAGGGGTCCCTGCGTGCGCCCCCCAGGAGCCAGAGCAGGAGGGGCACGGGGGGGCTGCCGCAGGCAGAGCGGGATGGGGGTGACCCCCCCCCGCCGCTGGCCCCCAGCCTGGCAGCCTTGGTGCACTCACGGAGCTTGGCCAGCCTGCCCCTGCACCGCGAGGGGGGGCTGCGGCGCTCGGCCTCCCTGGGCAGGGGCACAGGGGGGCCCCCCCTGCCCGCCTGGGGTCCCCCTGGGGCCACGCTGCGGCGGGGACAGCAGCTCACGGGCTCCCTGCAGCGCCCGGCCGTGCCCGAGTCCAGCTTCTGAGCCATGGCCAGGGGGCATCGCCCTGGGGCCCCTGCCATGGGGGCTCCCGAGCTGGGGGTGTCTCAACACAAGGGCTCCTGAGCCAGGGGATCCCAAACAAGGGTGATGCTGAGCCAGGAACATCCCAGCCTGGGGACATCCCAGTCGAGACAGTCAGATATCCCTAAAATGGATCATCCCAAACCATGGGAGGGCCTCCCAAATGAAGGCACTGAACCAAGGGCATCCTTAGCTGGAGGCTCCCAACGCAGGGGATACTGACCATGGGGGAATTCCAAACCAGGGTATCGCAGCCAAGCAGTTCCCCAGCAGGGGCCCTCCTGAACTGGAAGCTCCCAAACAGGGAATCCTGACCCGGGGGGCTCCCAAATGGTGGCATGCTGACTCAGGGCAGCCCGACCCAGGGGCATTCCAAACTGGGGCGTCCCCAGATGCGTGCTCCTGACCTGGGGACATCCCAAACTGGTGGCTCTGAAACCAGGGGCATCCCGAGCCAGGGGTATGCCGAGCTCGGAGCAGCACTCACTCACCTGCCCATGCCCCTTCCCATGGAGCAGGCAGGCAGGGGCTCCCCAGCCCTGCCAGCCCTAAGGCACACGAGTATTTATTGTAGTGGGAGAGTTTTATTCAGGTGCTTTTTGTTTTCCAAAAGGCAGCTGTTGGGGGGCTGGGGGTCCCCACACCACACTCTATGCAACCCACGATTCCTCCAGCCAGCTGTCGCACACAGGGGCTGCTGCCCACTGCACACCGTTTCTATTAAAGACACTGAACGGAGCCCAGTGTGGTGCCTGGGGACTGTCCTGGGGTGGGAAGGGCATTGTGCCCCATATAGAGGTGGTCCCAGGGTGGTGGACATCACCGTGGGCATGGGGCTTGGCAGGGTCACTGCTGGCCAGAGCCTGCCTGGGCACGGCTGTGTGTGGGCTGGGAGGTGGCAGCACCATAAGCACCGGTCGTGGAGCCCTGTGGCCATGGCTGGCAGGGCAGATGGAGGCAATGTCTGGAGAAACAGCGGCAGGCAGGGATGGAGGTGGAGGAAGCGAGATCAGGCTGGAGAGAAAGGTGGAGACAGCTGGAGGAGGTGGAGGGATGGGGAGAGAAGGGGGTACGGAGGTAGATGTGAAGGTGGGATCAGGGTGCAGGAGACAAAGATGGGTGTGGAGGAGGTCAGAGTGGGGTGGAGATGGAGGAGGTGAAGGTGGAAGTGGAGGACATAGGTGTGGATGAGGTGGGATGGAGATGGAGGAGACAGGGACAGAGATGGAAGTAGAAGAGATGGAGGGGGACGTAGAGATGGAAGTAGGACTGGGATGAGGTGGAAGAGGAGGAAGAGATGAAGGTGAAGGAGAACATCCCTTACTGGAGGCTTGCTTCAGTCTAAGGCCCTTGTTGTGTCACTGCTGTGCCCTGGCTGTTAACCCTGCTTTGTGTCAGGGAACAAACGTGGGGGTGTCCCCCATGTGCCACCCTGGTAAGCAGCACCCCCGGCCATGGCAGGCTCCTCAAGGCAGCCAAGGGCTGCTGGCAGTGACACCAACATGGGCAGGACACCAACATTCACCCCACAACTGCAGCTGGGAGGGGGTGGGAGCCCCAGTGGTCTTCCCTGTGCGACGCCTTGAGGACCTTGTGCACACTGCCAAGCTCCATGGGTGCATCCCCACACACAGCCCCCGCCGTCCCATGGGGAATGGGGTAAAGGATGTGGCTTGGCCAGGCTGGAGACCCGCTCCAGTGATGCACCTAAGCGTGGGCAGAGCACTGTCCCTTCCCTGGCACCCGTGTCTGCCTGCAGGCAGCAGCATCTGGAGTATCCACTCCCTGTGCTCCATGGACATGCCCCTCCATAGCCTGGGAAGTGGGGTCCCAGCCCTCACCCCATCCCACCAGGCTGGGGTAGGCCTTGGTGCTGGACAAGGCCATCGCTGCCCACCCTCCACCATGGTGCTCCTCTCCACAGGTGCTGCTCAGCCCCAAAACACAGGCAGGACCTGCCACAATAGGGTGGGTGGGTGCGGGCTGGGCACCTACCCCAGGACTGGGACCACCCCAAGCCTGATGCCCCACCCCATTGGATCAGGACCTTGACAGCCCACACAAAGCACAAACCCGTAGTTCTATCACCCCAGCCCTCATTAAAACCCATTTCCTACAGCAAAACACCTTCCAAGAGCTACGGGGACCAGCCGAAAACCCAGCTGGGACACTTCAGGTCCAGTGAGGCCCCATCCCACGGGACCAGGACCATGACAGCCCATACAAAGCAGAATCCCCATCATTTTATCACCCCAGCCCTCATTAAACCCAGTTTCCTACAGCACCTTCCAAGAGCCTATGTCCTAAATCCATCAGTGGGCACCAAGCCAGGCTGGGACCACCTCAAATCTGGGCTGGGGCCAGCTCACATCCATCCTAGGAGGACCCCACAGCTGGTGCTGCCCCATCCCATGGGATCAGGACCACAACATCCTGCACTGACCCTACTGTTTCCTGCGTCCCAACCCTCCTGCATCCCCACATCCTCCCACTAAGCCCCCCAGTGCCGCAGCTGCCATGGTGCTGCCGGTGCCGATGGGCATTAAGCAAACGCCAGTGCTGCCGGGCAGTTCCCAGTGAGTGGCACATGGATTTATTGATTACTTTTGGGGTGCTGGTGCCCCCAGGGGCCCACCTGGGGCAAGGGGCACGGTGCGAGCGGGGCGGGGGGCGAAGCACGGCCATTTCCATCCTCCTGCTGGGCACTGGGTGGGCGAGAACGGCTCCAAATAAAACAAATCTCTGTATTTTTTCTCTCTATAGATACAAATATATAGTATATGTATCTCTGCCGATATATATATATCTCTCTTATCTCTCTGGGAAGGGTAAAAGGTTAATTTGTCTTTGCATGCACAACCAAAGCCACCAACCCACAGGGACAGTGGGTGCCAAGGGACATGTGCCCTTCCCCGCTGGCACCCCAAAAGCCTGAGGGGGGCACATCCTGTTATTGCTGATCAGGTCCCGTCCTGCTCCGGCAAACAAGCGGAGGGGGCAGAAGCTGAAGAAATGAAATCCCGCTGCAAAGCACCATCGAGCTCGTTGTCACCTCACTGGTACCCGGCGGCAGCGCCATCAGGGCACGGAGGAGGTGGTGGCATCACCCCAGGACCATGGGTGCTGCAGGGCGGGGGGGGGGGGCAGGCACCCTGTTGAAAGGCAAAGTCTGGATAAGGCGAAAACAAACTGAACTCAAAACCAGCGACTGCCCCCAAACTGGGCACTTTGCCACACGAAACTGCCGTGCCAGTGACCCCCGGTGCCGACGGCCGGTGCTGGCCCCTGGGTGATGCAAGGATGAGCTTGGGGACAAGGGCACTGTCATAGGGCTGTGCTCTCCGATTCCTCCTCCTCCTCCTCTGGCCGGGTGGCCGGGCCTGGCCCCGAGAGTCTCTGCGGTGCCTCCGGCGGGTCCCGGCACAGGGCGGCATCTGGGGGGGCGTGGAGGGAAGGGACCTCAAAACGGAGCAGACCTGTGGGAGGGCAGAGTGATGGGGGACACCACAGCGGGAGCTTGGCAGTAGGACAGCCTGCCAAGGGCTGGTGCCGTGGTAGTGCCACCACCAGGGATGTCACCGCTTGTCCCTGCTCTGTGCTACCCCACCGGCACACGGCCTGTCCCCCACGATGCTCTGGTTCCCTCCCCCTGAGCACAGGCAGTGCTGCTGTCCCTTCTCCCAAGGGACCTGCAGAGTGAAACAGTGACACAGGGTGACCTACAGCCCGAGGCCGGCGGTGTCACCACCGACCCTTGTGGAGAGCCCAGCAAGAACACCTGTGTAAAAGCACCCCTGCCTGTGCCTGCCAGGCCCTGCGGCCAGCTCAGGCACTCCGCAATGTGCAGCAGCTCCTCAGGGCACCCAGCAAAGAGCTGCACCCATGCTGGGGTGCAATGCCAGGGTGCACCAATGCCAGGGTGCAATGTTGTGGTGCAATGCTGGGGTACAGCAGTGCCAGGCTGTGATGCCTGGGTGTGATGTGCAGGATGCACCAGTGCCTGAGGGCAATGCCAGGGCTACAACGATGCTGGAGTGCAAGACCGGTACCGCACAGGATGCTGGCTGCGATGCCAGAGCTGCCCACTCCAAAAGGGCAGGGACCTGCTGGAGAGAGTCCAGCACAGGGCAACTAAGATGATTAAGGGAGTGGAGCATCTCCCTTATGAGGAAAGACTGAGGGAGCTGGGTCTCTATAGTTTGGAGGAAGAGGAGATTGAGGGGTGACCTTATTAGTGTATATAAATATATAAAGGGGGAGTGTCACGAGGATGGAGCCAGGCTCTTCTCAGTGGCAAACAATGATAGGACAAGGGGTAATGGGTACAAACTGGAACACAAGAGGTTCCACTAAAACTTGAGAAGAAACTTCTTCTCAGTGAGGGTGACAGAACACTGGAACAGGCTGCCCAGGGAGGCTGTGGAGTCTCCTTCTCTGGAGACATTCAAAACCCACCTGGACACATTCCGTGTAACCTTATCTAGGTGATCCTGCTCCGGCAGGGGGATTGGACTGGATGATCTTTTGAGGTCCCTTCCAGTCTCTAACATACTGTGATACTGTGATACTGAAGGTGAGCAGCAGCCTGGGGAGCGCCAGCCCTGGCTCAGCGGATGCCGGGGTCTTGCTGTGCCCACACCGTGCCACCCCGCTCCAGGCAGGCGGGCACCCAGCAGAGCGGAGCACCCATGGTCAGCGCGGGCAGAGCTGGGAGCTCCCAGCTGTGCCTGGCCCCACACTCCCCCAGCCTGCGTGTCCCTGATGCCACCAAAGCATCCCCCTCCACGGGTGCAGCCCCACTGCTGTGGGAACACTGGGGCGCTGGGACACATGGAGACACGAACAGCACCTCAGGACAGGGCCAGCACAGCAGGAACAGCGGCGGCACAGGCTCGTGGTGCTGCCCAGAGATAATGCCACTTTGCTAGGGACACCAACACCTTCCATAGGCTGCCTACACTTCCCAAGTGAAAGTGCCACCTTTCCAGGGACACTGCCACTTTCCTGGGGACACTGCAACCTTTCTG